AAATACATTTTAGAGCGTAAGCGAATGCACAGGAACACACAGTGCAATTTTTAGCCAAGGAAACTGCAGTCTGCAGTTGAAAATGCCCAAAGCTGCTTAAATGTCTGAGCTTCAACTCAGCAATGTGCAATCTTGACATCAAAGCATTAGCCAAACATGTGAGGAAATTTCATGTTACTAAAATACCGAGTATCTAATAAACCAATTTTACCAAAATATATAAACATGTAGAAGGTAAGTGCATTTAGTAGAAATACATTAAAAAAAAATCTCTTAAAATCTCATGTGCCATTCAATGTACACACACACACACAAAAGTGGCAATAAGGCTATGATACTGCTTGGGGTCCTATCTGACATTACCAAGTTCCATATACAATTATTTTTTATGCCGTGAGATTGTAGTCTGTGTGTGTATGTATGGTGGGAGATATATTCACACATATGTAGTTCTGTACATCAACACAAATGGCATGCACATTCTTGAGAAGTTGCCTCTTGTTCTCTTATTCTTTACCGCATTCATTCTTGAGTCCCTAGCGGTCTGGGGGCTGGGGTTAGTGTGGGGCCAAGGATTGGAATCATGATGTTTCTTTCATTCCCCACTCTGTGGGTCATGGTCACATGCCATGCTGGTTCACACACTCACACGTGTGAGCCTTTGAGTAAACACGATTCCCTCAACACAGCCACACAGATGTACACCCACAAGGACGTAAGGATCCTCTCTTTAGCATCAGGTAGACCCTGATGTTTCCATGTTCCAGGAGAAATTACTTCTGTAGGGTTTTCCTTTGCTTTCTGACTTCTCCATTGGGTCTATTCTATGCTATTACTTTAAATACTACTGGTGTTCTGTCTGGTGTTATTTTTTTTTTCTCAGTGTTTTGGATCAGGACCAACTTTTCTGAGACTGCAAATGCCTAAGACAAATATAAACAAGATCTGCCTGCATACACAGACTGTTCTTCAGGAGTGAAATTGCTGAAGCACATTCATATTTCTTATGACAAGGAGTCTTTCTAAGAATTTATTTCCCACCCCCATCTTCATAATGAAAACAATTCTAGAAGTAAATATGGACATTTCTGGACTTCGTCCTTAAATGCTTAGTTTCAGAACAGTGTACAGGTAGATCCTGATTAAAGGTAAACTGGAAAAAGGTATTTTAAAAACTGAGCTTTTCTTTTTCATTTAGAAAGCACTAAGGACTTGGGATCAAGCAAATGACATGAACCCTCGTGACTGCGGTCCAAACTGAAACACCTCTGAACCACAGCTCTATTGGAACAGTAAATTTAGTTACTCAAATGGAAGTTGATAATTTGGAAATATCTTGATGCAATCAAGGATCTACATCCCATCTGAAGCATAGACATGCCTTTCAGTCTGAAACTTCTTGAATACTGTGGTCAAACATGGATTCTGCTCTCTTGCACCTTGGCCTGTATAATCTTTAACACTTAAAAATGAGTTAGAATAGCAACATAAATGTTAATTTTCATTTACCTTTTTAAAATATAGTTCTAAAGCATGTCTTAGTCCTATTTCACAGAGAAATTTTGTCTTCAGCAAAAAGCCATAAAGGCGAGTTAAGGTGCTAGATCGAACCCTGGCTCGGGCCTAGCAGTAGACTGGGCCTATCTCAAGGCTGCAGGAAGCAGCGACTACAGGATAAAAGCATTCGGCTCCTGTCCTGGCCTCTTCTCCCTCGCTTTCCAACAACAAAGCCGCGCAGCCAGTGTTCCCATTTCGCGCCCCCTGAAGGCGGAGCTGGGAATCAGGGCCTGTCTCACTGCAGTCAGGGGCTGTGGCGGGTCAGAAGTGCTGACCCACTGTGAGGGCGGGACGCCCACGTCAGCCCCATGAGAGGACCCCAGCACAGAGGAGCTGTGTGGTCACGAAACCAACGGTGGACGTCATCAGTGCATTCCAACGGGCAAAAGTAAGTTTCCACCCTACTTATCACTGCAGTAAACTGATTCAGGGAAAAAAACGCAGGGGAAAACTATTTATAAGCTGTGAGTTACTGTAGGAGAGACACTCTGACATAGAGGCATCTAAGCCCGGTATCGGAGCACCTGCCCCAGGCACTCAGCTCGCACGGCGCTCTGCCTGCCACCTGGCCTCCCCACAGCTCCCTGTCCCCTAAAGCGCTGCCTGCGCCCAGAACACTCTCGGGCACTGCGGGCATCACACCGAGCTGTCGTTTAGGGAGTACAGTTCAAAGTAAGCAGATATTCCCTTTTTGTTCGTTTTCTGGCAAATAAAAAAGCTATTTAATACAAAGTCTTTAATGTTCATGAAGCAACAATTCTGTGTTAAATTTTAAGGATACTGAAAACCACTAGCATTAAAGTAAGTATTGTATAAGACACTGGAACCTCAATGAGGCATCATGCTCCAGAGTCAATAAAGAAAATAATAGTAAAACAAAATGTTCACAAGATCTGAGGTCCTTCACTTTGTTTTCAAATCCTTTTATCAATCTGTTTACTTTTTATCCTTTGTTGGACAATCAAATCAATTTTAGCAGTTTTAACTACTTAAAATAACTCATTAAGATCTAAAATTACTATAATTTAACTTAAAAAAATCAAAACAGTTATAATACAAAATAAATGATTTGAAGAATAAGAATTCAATTTATAATATTGTCAACTGGTCATTTATCTAAATATTGGAAGTGTACAAATAAAGTTAAAGAACAATCCTTCTAAGATACTTAAAAATGCAATATAATCATAAATTATGTGCAGAGACTGAGACTTACAGACATTTCCAGTATATACATCCATTTTCAAATATTACCAAAGTGTAAACATAAGATAATCATCCTTCTATTTCCACTCCTAAAATGAACACAGTGAAGCTTCCAGTATGATCCAGATCACTTTCTTCCCTAAAGATAAGCAAAAATCACAAACATTTACAACAGCAAGCACTAGCATTACCAGATTTTGACTAATTTAGTCTTTTAGTATTGAAAAGATTTGCTGAATTTTGTAGTTAATTGATAGTGGTTCCTGGTTTCTCATGACATTAATAAATAACAAAGCACCACACACCTCAAAATATTAATAGAGATTCCAGTACGGCAGTTTCATTATCATACCCCAAATGAAGATAGAAGAAAAATAGGTAGTGACTTTGATAATTATAAAACACAATGTTACTTTATGCTTCTGAGGATCGAATGGATGATCTATACCTAGTGACAAAGGGACTGAAGCTTAACAGACAATACTCTGGTACTGAAAAGGAAATGAGTCTTAGGGAAGAACAAGATTACAAACTTCTGGTTTAGACAATTTTAGATTTTGAATATTCAGACAAGCAAGAAAAAAGAAAAAAAGCACAATGTTCAAAATAGGAGATGGCCTGTATGGTAAGAAGCCCCTTTAACATTATTTGTTACTTGTAACCTTTGAAAGCTTTCCCCTAAGCTCTGTGTATACAACATTTTCCAGTGGAAGATAAGGACTGAGACCCCCATGAAACCTAAGAAAAGGAAGTAAAATACTTGTCCAGGAATTCATCTGGCCTCAATTCTTGTTTGGTAACTCGTCCTCTGAAAAGTGGATGACCTCATTTTTGCAGCCAATGCAGCTAAGAGAACCAGATACGTGAGCATAAAAAGCAAAAGAGCAACGACAACAGCAAAGTCCATCATTTGAAATTTCTCAAGGTGAGTTTATTTTCTCCTCCGTCTGCCCCACTCTCCTGCACTTGGATTAATTCGATGAAACACTGAAATCCTTAATACTGGCTTTAAAATAAGGACAACTGCCTGCACTGCTAGACTGCATCGTGTGTACCATCTTAAACAAACTTTAACTGTAAAGTGGAAATCTCCAAGGAATGAAAGAGACCGGCTCAGAAAAACCATTCAAAACATCTCTAAAATATAACTGACAGCTCTCCTTTATGGGAACATTCTGTGTGCTCAATAAAATTGCTTCTCTGGTTGAATGTTAGTCAAATCTAACTTTTCTCTAACTGGTATTTCTATTTTTCTTAAAAGTACATTTGTTAAAACTCTAACTGAGCCCACTTGGGAAATCTTGAGTAGAAAATATGTGATGAGTTCCTGATTGTGTCATAGTCAGGCTGAAGACTAGCCCGAATGTTCCCCAGGAGAGGAAACCTGAAAATGTTGGTTTCCTTAAAAATCAATTTCCTGTTCAATTTGTTGGAGAAAAGAAGGAACCGTGTTGTGTGTGTCGGTGCTCCTGAAACACTGAACAGGCTGCTGCTGCAGCAAAGGAAACAACAGGTCCCAGTACCCATGGCTGCATTAGTGCTTGAATTTTCCTTCGTTTGGCTAAATCTGGAGGATAAATGTTACCCTCGGAACCCCAAAGTAATATCCACATCCACGTTCTTAAGGCTTTTGCTTCCTTCTGGGGTTAGCAAGCAAACGTAACTCTTTTCTCTCTTCCTAATGCCTAGCAAACAGAACAATTTGCCTGCTTTTAGCCACAGTCAGTAATTACACGACAGAGCACCCACATTTCCACGGTGGGGCTGTCTCACAGTCCAGACACCAGCAACGATGGGGGACCTTGCTCTCCCAGCGGATTCTGCAGCCCCGATCTCAAGGCAGAGCGGTGCTCCCGGACATGCAGACATGCGCCAGGGCTCAGCTTCAGGACCCCGCGCTGGAAAGGCATGGCGCGCCCCTGACGACGCCAGGGTGTGTCATGCTTTCTCTGGACAGGGTCACGCTGGTTCTTCAGGGGACACCACCCGCCCGACACAGAGAAAGGCTGCTACTTTGTGTCTCTCGCAATGAGACCCTTGGTCTGTTACTAGACCAGAGGTGGCTTGGGATTACTTCAGTAGGTTAAGATTAAGAGTGTACTCTATGGACGCAGAAGATTGCAGTTATTGAACACACGGTTCCCCAGTCTGCCTAGAGCACATAACGCGTGTCATCAGTGTCTTTCTGTCCTCCAGAGGAGAGCAGGGCAGGAGAGGTGGAAGCGCCTCGGTGCGTGTCACTGCTCACTAGCACCCTCTGAGGCCGCGGCCAGCCTCTCCGTCTTCTTAGACTTCCTCTGCATTTGCTCTTGTTCCTTCCTCCTCAGCTTCTCTCTCTGTTTTTCCATTTTCTCCTGGGCCTTCCGAGCCTTCTCTAGAGACACCTTCATTTCCTTCAGTTTTTTTTTGACCACGGCTCGGTCCTGGGATGATGTCATTCCGAGGGCCTGAGAAGGAAACACACGCAAACAATCTGAAGACTGATGACCCTTCTGTTTATGATGAGGCTGATATCACAAGAGAGTCCAAACTCAAGAACTGATACACACATAATCGAAGAGGCAGAAAATGAGGAGGAGTGGACTACATTTGCCAAAGATCTACGTACGGTGGGGCTGGGCTTTACTTGTCCTTTTGCTCTTTGGAGTCCGGAGCACAGTACAATGTAAACCTCAGCAAGTAAATGCTTTCTGAACCGGTGATTAATGGGCAAATGAATAGCGGAAGGGCACAGTTCTGCTTCTCCAACTTTTGGGCTATGGCCATTTACAGCCAAAAGTACTGCTACACTCATCAATATTTTCAAAAGCTAGTAGTAGGCACCTGCCACCCATCTTGGAGGGCTCCAAGAAGGGCAGGAGGAACTGAAACGGCTTCCTTTCTACCACTGTATTCACTTACAATGGAGACCAAAAATGTCTCCAGGACAACAGTGTTCATATCAGCATGACTAGCCGTTCCCTCCCTGAAGACAGACCCATAAAGGAAGCCTGATCATAATGAGGAGCTTGCTTGATAAGCTTGGAATTCAGCATAAGGGGAGCTGGTTGCATATTTTCAATGTTTCACGACCTTCAGAATCAACAGCAGGAGGCATCCATCTCCCCAGCAGGGACAGGCCTGTCGATGGGCCTTCATATTCACAGGCTATTGATTGAGCTCTAACCTTTTCAAGACCGTCAAGAGATACTCGGAGGCCATCAGCCCAGCAGGGCGCCTGCGTGGGGGTGGTGGGCTGGCTGAGAGCTCCTTCCGCCCTGTCTCCACAGGCTGGGTGCCACCTCAGACTCTAAAGGAGATGGGCGGGACAGGCGACAATGAGAGTGTGATGGCAGGGAGGGGAGGACGCGGCCTGCTGCAGCGGGAGGACAAAGTTCTGCGGGGAACACAGTCCTGGTTTCGGAGTGGTGCGCAGGGAGCAGAGAGGGTGGAGGAGAAAGGAGTTCAAAGGGGAGATTCATGGACCTGGATTTTAGCTTTCATGTCACGGGAGGGTCCACACTGGCCATTATTAAAACTCACACTACAGAGGAAATAAGCAGAGTCAAGACATGGACCATGTGCTGTTTGGCAGAAGCAATGGATGAACCTCTAGCGCTCCTGCTCAGCAGCCTATTGTTTAATTCAGAACCCAGCAATTTTCCAAAACCTCCTTTACCACTGGGAAATGATTCAATGTCCTCTCTGCTGACCGTGGATGAGAAGTACCTCTCAGCTATGCAGAAGGCTCTTATCTAATGGAAACATTTCAGGTGCTACTAGTAATACAAATTATACTTGGTAACATACAGTTCTTTACCTTAAGTTTATTTCCATCCAACTGCAGGAGTTGCTCTCCAGTGATGTTTTGGGCACTGAATTCAGAGACATACTGCTCCAGATTTAGGCTCATTAGCCAGTGAGAAACCTGCTGCACGCTCCACTCATGAACGGCCCGATTCGGATACTGACTGTGTTTGGGAGACTGTCCGTCATCAAGGATCTGAGGTAGGAATGTTATGCAGGGTTGTTAAAGGATCGAGAAGCTGTGGCTCAGTAGGAATGTGATGCTATCAAAAAGCCAGTTCTTGCCTACTAGAGCCACACTTGGTTTTAAGCCCTGGAGTAAATGAGTGGGTCTGGCTGTATGTGTAACACGCATAAACAGTGATCACCTCTACATTTTCCTTAGGTATTTGGAAATTTAAAAATTCCCACAAACAAAGCAGCATTGTAATGTAGGAAGTTAATAACTGAAAAATACATTGTAATATCACAAGTTTTCACTTAAAACACTTCAGAAAGTTTATCAGATGCAGAAAACAAGTACATCACTTATCTCTGTATGTAATGAACTGCTCTGCATTGGTCCTCTGCTAAGACATTAGAAATATGTAAAGATACATTTTAAAATATTGAGATATATATTTTACTTAGAAGGGGAGCAGTAAGCCCTCAAGCATTCTTAGTAGGGGAAATTTCACAGCCATTATTTCATTTGAGCAGCAAGCAAACCTATAAGGAAGGTGGGATAGGTAATTTACAAATTATCAAATTACTTTTAATATATGAGGCAAGTGAAGCTCAGAAAGTCTACAGACCTGTCCAAGATTATGCAGCTAGCAAGTGCCAGAGCTCAGCACTTAGTAGTTTACTCCAAATCTCTGGCTCTGTCCAACACAGGACATGACTATGAATCGTGCAAAGGCAGCTTGGTTTTAAGACCCACTAGGCTGAGAGGAGATGAAGGTGGTGATAAATCCGGGAGGAGAGATGGGAGCACCTTAGTAACCATGCAGGAAAACAGGAGGAAATGGGGAAGCTGAGATGAGGGCAAGGGGGTGAAACACAATGGTCTGTGTCGGGCTAATGGTGGTGGGAGACACAGAAAGGGGCTCTGGAGGTGGAGATCCCTTCGAATGTCTTTTCCACTAAGATTGAGACAAGGGCAGAGAGTAAACTATTTAACAGGAGGAAATCCACTGCAGGGGAACATTTCCTGTCTAGTTTGATTTTAAATCATTATAAAGAAAGAAAAGAAGCTTCAGACGCTACCCCGTAAGCCACCACACACAGCCCACTGAGAGCTCACCTCGTCATCTATCATATCCAGGCTCTGAGTGAGAGAGCAACAAAGGAATCAAAAAGAAAAGTGTTACAGAAATAGGAAACATGCATATACAGTACACACTTTCCATACAATTAAAATCATGCCAGATCTGAAGAATATGGACAGAAAAATTTAAGAGGAACAAAAGTTTTACAAAGCAAAAACCACGTTAGAAAGAAGTAACTAGGAACAGATATTTCGGATGAATATATCTTTACTTATAGAGCTTCTCTCCCTGACCCCAACCCGCTTCCAGTACTGGGATTTCTTTCTTCTCCTTATCTCTCGGCGCACTAAGTCACATAAGTTACCAGTAGAGCCTTCTGCCTCCCTGTGCAGTGATCTCCTGAGGATTCATCACAGTGCCCACCTGACGCTGCCTTCTAAGTAAGCAGTTCTTCCCAAGTGGTCCCTCCTGATCAGAACGGCACCCCCCTCCCCTGCAGCGATCCCAATCAGGGGCCACGCCTGACTCAGAGGGAGCACCGGGGGCGGTGGAGGTGAGCTGTGCAGTGCTCAGCCACCCAGCCCCACCCATCCGTGGAAAGCCATCCCATTTACATCCCAGAGAGGCCCAGGAGTCCCCTGGACAGCTTACAGGGGCTCAGGGACAGAACCTGGCTTCCACATTGAGGCAGACAGAGGGCAAAATCGCAAGGCTTTCAAATCAAATGTGAAACCATAGTCCTGATGGCTGATCTGCAAAGTCTGCCTGAAAACATTCTCCTCTGTGACAGTTTGTGGGCAACGTGTAGGATCTGAGAAGGCAGCTCCGTTGCCTGTGCCGCGCACATACCTCGTCGGATGAGAGCAGCAAGGACGGAGAGAGGCCAGGCGTTTTGGGTTCTGCTCCCAGGCCGCTCAGGTCTGCTGAACTGGTGCTGCTAGGACTGAAATCATCATTGAAGGGAAAATTCTGAAAAAATAAACAAAGCTCCGCGTTAAGTGAGCCTGGTGAGTGAACCAGAGACAAGTCTGTTTACAAGCTTTAGAGAGGTTCTTTATAAGTCATCTCAGAAGAGATGCATATTTGGTTGGGTGACCTTCACCTGCCAGTGGTTGGGAACTCTAGCCTTCTGTGCTGGACACAGAATTCTGGGCTCTTTATCACGTGAAAGGACAGGTATTTTAGAGAAATGATTCTTCAATCTCTCTTCAAGGGTACAGCATTCATTATCCTCCACAACTGCTCAGAGGAGTACTGTTAATAAGCCTATCTGCTTTGGCCCTAATTGTGATGAGTAACAGTGTAAGTAAAAATACAAGATGGTGTGGCAAGCCTGAGTTATTAGGAACAGATGGCAATCCATATTAGAAAGGTAACTTGAGCACCCCCTGGGAAGGACTGCTTGCCGTTGGCTGTGATAAACACCGTGAGAAATGGCAGATCCTCTCCTGGATGTAACCTTCAAGATGATGAGTTCTGGGGGAGGTCACAATCTGACATTACACTAGTAGTTACATGCTAAAATACAACTCTCGCACAGCACCAGTGGAGTACCAAAGAGGCTGGAGCATGGCCAGACACACGTTTCCAAATAATCACCTGGGGTTGGAGGAGGTCCGGTGTGTCAGTAAAATTTCCCAGAACTTACTGAAAATGTTCAGTGGATGTTACAGTCAAATAAACTCACAATGACTACACAGTTGCATTTGTAAAACATTTTAAACCAAATCTCAAGAGTCTCTCCAATGCGAGATAAAAACTGGAATTATTCAAACAACATTCAGACTTCTCAGATCCAAGGCTGAAAATGTTTCAAGACCAATGTGGTCTGCTGTTGCCAAAACTTCTTCTGCTAATAATTCTAGAAGCATTGCCTTTCCTGGAATTCTAAGCACCTGACCAAACACCATCTTGTTTCTTATTCCACTTCCTTAGGAACTGGACTGTTACAGTTTCCCATTAGGTTCCCTTGCATTGGGTTTAGTTGGTTGTCAAGAATAAAAACCATGGCAGAGGCTAGAGAATTCAGTACCAAACTCCAAAGGTTTGCTAAAACTTCAGAAAAGGAGATGAAATCAGAGCACAGGAGCTATGCTAGTAAAACATTTAAGCGTGAAAGCATTTAACACAGCACATTACCATTTGATACTGTCAATGGAGATAACGACCTCAAACTCTGTCAAAATGTTATGAGCTGTTGACCTCAAGAAAAGAATTAAATTCAAGTAACATTAATCACAGGTTACTATTTGAGAAAGAAAAGTGAACACAGATAAAAGGAGACCAAACAACACATGAAAGTTAGCAACCACTTGTGTTTCAATAAATTGTTAGGTAAGGTTTGCAGGGTCATGCTGGAAATAACTGTCATGCATTTAAAAACAAAGAACCATATAATTCCCCATTCTGCTAAAGTTAAAAAACTCTGGTGATAGAATGATCACAGTTTATCAACACGGAAGTTTGATTTAAAAGAAGAAATAAGTAAGGGTGCTATGTCAGCATTGATTTGTTTGGAAGGGTTTCATTTAGATATATTGAATACATATTCAGTCTCAAATTTATTTGTTTTCCAGTAAATCTTGAAGAGCACAGCAAAAATAGTTTTGTAATGTAATTTAAAGTGGAATACTTGGTAAACAGATTTATCATACTGTTCCAGGATTCAAATGCATCTTTCCCAGCATGGCTTAACTGTCAAACTGAGATTAAATAGCAATATGTGAAAAGACAGGGAAATCAAAGATTAATATACAATCTAGAATGGAATAGTATTAAAGAAGGTGGTGGTTAAATAAGGCTTTCTTTCTCCCCAACACGAAAATACCATGCATTGTTTATTGCAGTGTTATCACATTGGTTTCTCAAATCCAGAGTATACACACAAGTTGAGAATGCTTTCCAAAGACTGAAGAGGAGGAAGGACTGGGGTTTTCTTGTTTGCTTTTTAAAATCCACGTGTTTTCTACCTTAGACCCCTTTTTATCTGAAATTAGAGCTTCAGGAGAAGGCTGAAGGGGACTTGCAGATGAAGGCAGATTCCTGAAGGAATAGGATCCTTTTCGGCTTTCATTAAACCACGAGAAAGGCAGGCCAGTTGAGCGTGTGGAGGCCTGAGCAGTGGAGGATGGCGTTGGTTTCCAGGTTTCCAGCCTGCATCTGAAGATCCTGGGTTAGGAAAAGAAGAGGTGTTTTAGACAAAGGAAAAGGGCAGATGGAAAACTTACAGAGCTGAATTTTTAAGAGACTCTGAATACAGTCTGAAGTAATAGTCTGAAAAATTGTCCTACACAACAGAGTACAAATTTTGCATTTTTGACTGGAACATTAATCTTTTTTTGCATCTAAATGGATGTTATAACAATGAGAAGTATTTTGGTATCACCATGGCCATGATGACTTCTTTGAATTGGGATTAAATGTATGTGGATAAATTAGTATCAGAGAGGGACATGGTCTTTTAGGAACTGCTTTGAGTTAATGATCACAGCGTTCCCTTTATTTGGGTCACATATGAGTGCCTCACTACTAGTGACATGAGCTCATAAGCAGCATTTTACCCTGGCCTCCTCGGAACACAAGTTCCCAAGAGCCTGAGACTTTAAAAAATGATACATTTAATAACTGGAAATTTCTGGGCTCATGATACTTTAAGCAGAATACACACCTTATTGGTTTTTCATCATCATCTTAGTGCCTTATCATAGGAGGAGCGCCAGACTAGAGGTCCTAAAACCCTCTTTGGATGTCCAGGGTCTTTCACTTCCTGTGCACATAACCTTGGGCCTTCTTTGCCTCTATTTCCTCATCCATAAAATGTGGATATTCTATGTATATCTTATATGTGGTTAAGAATTAAATTAGATATGTGTGAAAGTGCTTTGAAAACTGTAAAAGTAGAAAGGTCTGTGCTTATTGTTTAACATTTTAAGGACTCAAAGGCATTTGAAAAACAGCCTGAAAACAGACTTTGTTTTCTTAACGCAAGCACTTGCATATTTATATTTATCTTTTGATTAAAAAAATCATCAAGAGCTAAGGCAGGAATGGGCAGCAGTTTCTGTGCATTTTAGAAGAAGGCACCCTCAGTTAGTTCAAGTGATAACTGATATAATACTTATTATTTGTTAGCTGTTAATGTCATGACAACAAAGAGATTCCCTTTCAATTAAAAGTGCCTCAACAGCATGGCTTATGGGCAACTTATGTCCCAGAGGTATACAGAATCTCAACCTCACATTTCATTTCACATTATTTTCAAATATTACACATTTCAAATTTACATAGATGATACAACTCCTAACAATTTCTGTTCATTTCTAAAGTATATTGTGAGAATCAAATGGGACAATTATTATAAAAGCATCTCGTAAAACTAAAGCAATATACAAATGTAAAGGGGTTATGAGAACGATAACTAAAGAGAATGCAGAAGTCAGTAAAGTTTTAGCAGCACGCTGAAATCACAGGTTGGATGAGAAAGTGTTCATCACACTAAAGATTACAGAAGATATTATTTTAATTTTGTATTTATTTTTTGAAAATCAAAGGGGTCTGCAAGGATAACAGAGAACGACCAACCAGAAATATGCCAACCTTCAATTTTATCCTAAAGTTTAACGTAAAAAAATTATATTCTTAAATCCACTTACTATTAAGAAGTGGGGGGTGGGGTGGGGTTACCATAAGTGAACTTAGGAAAGCATACTAGCAGAGGCAGACTGCTCTGTGAGTGAGTGAAGTCGCTCAGTCGTGTCTGACTCTTTGTGACCCCATGGACTGTAGCCTACCAGGCTCCTCCGTCCATGGCATTTTACAGGCAAGAGCACTGGAGTGGGTTGCCATCTCCTTCTCCAGGAGATCTTCCCGACCTAGGGACTGAACCCAGGTCTCCCACATTGTGGGCAGATGCTTTACCGTCTGCGCCACCAGGGAAGCCCACTTTTTATTCCTGGATCATGGACTGGTGCAGTGGTCCCCAAGTAAGTCTGATAAGTAAGCATCATCTGGGGCAGTTGTATAAACACAAATTTTTGGGTACCTGGACTTACCAAGTTAGAATTTGGGGGAGAGGGAGTTGACCTGGAATCGACACTTCAAATACATATCTGAACTCACTAAGTATTTTTAATATGTGTATTTATGAATAGTATCCTGAGTCCAAACTTGAGGTTTCTGGCATGAAACTAGGTTATTACTTACTTACAGGAAGTCACTGCGCTGGCTCCCCATGCCCTGATCTCCTCTTTCCAGGGTGACACAGTGAGAACGAGTTGTCATCCTATATGTGGTCGCATTATATGTGAGGAGTTTTTAAAAATATGAATCTTTAAGGTTACATAGCAGAAGGACAGCTGTCTCCCTTCTCTTCTTTAAGAGAGCGAGAGAGATCTTATCTCCTTAATGTAAACAAGTTCATCTTGAGAAGGATCTTGGGTTCTTGTGCTTTGGAAAGTGATCTATGTCAGAGGAAGGTAAGACTCAAGTCTCCAGCTTTACAGCCCCTAGAACATCTCCATAGAGTTGGGTCTCAAAGTCCCTCTCCCCGGCCCCACTCCTGGAAAACATGATCACATACCTCTAGGGAGGTAAATCTCTCTGCAGATAAATCTAACTAGTTAGTCATAATTTAACTTCTCAGGCTTATCTTTTAGCTCAGTCCCACATTCCAGTAAAAATGCTCACAAAGCTCTAACTGTGCTTTAAAACACAAAAATAATTTTTTATGCTTTAAAATATTTTTTATATTTTATATGTCTTTTATATGCTTTAAAACATAAAAATATTTTCTCTGTAGTGTCATACTCTTATAACTGGGGATATATGAAATAACCTGGACCTGATGTTTATTTTTCTCCTTGGTTATAAATTTCTGAATCAGTTAATCAAAGTAACATGGGAATTTTTTAAAGAGTTCCATCTGTAATTCAAATAAGGTACGTTAGTACTTAAATATATGGATACTGTTTTCAAATTTATAAACAGGCCACTATTAACGAAAGCATGAGTATGCTGTACTATGCCCAAGTGAACTGATTTTGTAACGCTTTTAAAACAACCACCACTACAACTTTTAAGAAATAGCAAGTAGGGATATTATTGCCTGACTGTTGTCATTCTAAGACCCATGAAAAGGACTTTTGGTAGCTCAAATCCTGGCCAGGTGACGTTTCAAACAAAATTTGAAGACCACATCTCACTAAACCCTTTCATAAAATCCTCACTGCCAGGAAAATACTCAAGACAAATAATTCCATGTGGACTTGTACATACAGCACTGAAGACGGGTCGGAAGGCCATGATGTGAGAATGATGGAGTCATGGAAGCTCAGCCCTGGGTGACATGCAGATGCTTTCTGCTCTAGCTTTCTACACCAAGAAATTGATGATACAAAGAAAGCAATGAAAGCCCACTTCTAAGGAGACAGCAGCTGTCCTCACAGCTGCAAACCACCAGCCCGGGGGTACTTTGAAAGCTGTGTCCCAGTTCTCCAGGAGGTCTGGCTGTGCCTCTGCTGAGGCTGTATCCTGTCCCCCTCATTTCTCTTCGGATCCTTGACTCCAAAGCTCCCTGAGCCGATGGAACCTCTGTGTGGTTCCTAGTGTCCTTCAAAAACAGAACAGTGGTTTGCTTCCATTTGCTTGGAACTGGAGTATAGAATGTTCATTTAAGAAATAAAATCCTCCACTACTTTAAAATTATAGACCTATCAGCTTACCAACTTTTCTGAAACAAATGCCAATCTCCTTTCAGATAAACTCAACTCTTGGGTCTACAAAAGGAGCAGAGAGGGTTTAGTAACAGTTATTCTATTATTGATCACTCTTACAGACTGTTTCACTTTGTGGAGAAATCTGTTAAGAATAACATAAAATTCTTCCTTCCTTTTCTTAACTTTTTAGAGTTCGAGGACAGATTATGGTCCAAGGGGCATAAACTCTATCTAGATCCTTAATAATCCCCTTGAAAAATCACGATTGGTAGAAATGATTAATAGAGCTGAAAATACCTTTTGGAGGATCAACACAGGTATGTGTTCTATGCTTATTTTTCTTTTACAGTTTATACACTAATGGTTCACTATCACTTTTGGAAAAACTAGATTCATAAATTACTATTACATCCCTGTTGGAAACTTTCATTTTCTTTTTCTTTTTTTTTTTTGGCTGTGCAGCATATGGGATGTTAGTTCCCTGACCAGGGATTGAACCTGTGTCCCCTACCATGGAAGCACTGAGCATTAACCACTGGACCACCAGGGAAGTCCCCCTGATTGTTTCATTCATAGGAACTGGGAGAAAGCATGGCTTAAAGTTAAGCCTCCATAATCCTGAAATGTCATTTTGGGGGTATGTGGTGGGGGGAGTTACTGTCTCCTGGCATTTAAATGGTTTACAATTAGCAACTCTATAAAACAATTAAGTAATTTGTACACATCTTGAAACCAGTTTATCCTGGTGCTAACACCCCAAAATTAAGTTGCTCAGGTAAACATTCCTTGGTGAATTTTTTCAGTTTAACTTTGAATAAAAGGTGTATAAAATACTCAGAATATAACTGGAGTCATCAAAATATAATTAGGCATTCAGGAACTGTCAGAACAGAGAAAGTATAAACAGAATACAGAATTCAAGCAGGTAGTAAAGGAGATTAATTGAAGAAACTTAGGTGCAACCAGAGGAAGGGTTGCAGACCTCCATTTACTCAAGTCAGACGAAGGAATTCTGTAAGGTTCGAATATTCACCAAGGAGACTGAAGTTGTAAAGTCAGCCTCTTCTGAAGGTGACTGAGAGACCTGAACAGATCACAGCTATAATAAGAGGGTGTCCATCTGCAGCCAGGCCAATAACACTGAATACATCCTGCTTCCAGATTCTGAGTTATAGTCTAAATATCTGGTCAATAATCAACAACCCATCTGAGACAATCACTATAAAGTGCTTAACCTTGACTTATGACGGGGTTCAGGAAATGCTATCCCAAAATATGGTACCTGGGTATATCTAGTCTTTTGAATATTTTAAGCTGAAGGGATTTGAGGAATGGCAGGTGCAGAAGAAGCTCTCTGACCACCCACCTCCCCCCTGAACCAGGTCACAAGACCCTGGGGGCCAAGAGGTGACCGCCTACACGCAGAGGAGAGGAGCAGACATCTCCACGGGTACC